GAGGACTTGCTACCTCTTAGACTACGCACGCACCAGCCGCACCACTGGGACGAGCGATACCGTCCATACATACAGCATGCCGGCTTCCTTGAGATCGTCTGGGTCTTCAACAATGGGCTATCGATCCTCGACCCTGCACTTCTCACTGCTACTGTCGATAGGTATGATTTGATACACGTTTGGTGAAGTACAAAGCATTGATTTGTTTCATTGTTTGAATTAAAAAAAACTTCTTGTATTGAATTAAAAACCCACAGGTGGAGGCCAGAGACCCACACCTTCCACCTTCCCTGCGGTGAGATGACTATCACGATGCAGGACGTGAAGATGATTTTGTGTCTACGGTTGGGAGGTCTTCCAGTACTAGGATCCTTGATAATGATCACTGGATGGACTTGGTGGAGCAGTTCTGTGGCAGAAGATCACCCGAGGATGAGGATGCTAAGAGAGCAAAGTAAGAATTTCTACGTTCCAAACATTTACCATTTTGACACCAGCACATGCAAGTCTTTGGTTGGTCTCTTATATCACAAATATATGTTATGGTCTAAGTCTATCGTTGATCTACATATTCTGTAAATTATTTTCCTATTTAAATAGAGGGTGTAGTACATAACTTTTATGATGCGTATTGTCTTTGTCTAATTTAATATTTATTTTTGTTCCCTCAGCTCTCATGCAATTGTCCTTCAAAAATTTTAGGAAAACATCTAGTGTCAGTTCGGTCTGGATAACAGAAAACTTCGGGCGCCGCTGCACCCAGACGCTCTAGAGTAGGAGATCGAGAGGTATGCTAGGGTGTGGCTATGACACTTCTTAGGCGCCTTCCTATTCCCCGACGCATCGGGTAACATCATCAGCTGGGCCTTCCTCAATATACTGAGCCAGCCATGGGAGAATATAGGAGCATACAACTGGGGCAATGCGGGCCTAGCATGGATCTATCATCAACTCTGCGTTGCCTGCCAATGCAGTACAGGAGGTGCCAACCTAGGAGGTTGCTTCCACCTACTACAGGTTTGGTGTTGGGAGCGATGGCCAGTCGGGAGGCCTATTGTTCACGGTTTACCTGTAAGTGCATCGATTTTTTATTTTCCTCAAACTTGATGTCACACTTGTGACTGACTATCCTATTCAATGCAGGCATGGAATCACGTGGACGTAGGACCAACTGCTCTGTACATCTGGCAAGAAGCGGAGATAGTTAGAGGGAACCCGAAGCGGCGGTACAGGCAGTACTCGGACACGCTAGACGTCCTAACACAGCACCAGGTAACGACCACTTTAATACTGGTAGTCGGTGTTGTTGCTTTTTTATTATTCTCAAAACATAACTGTAGTTACCTAACTTTCAGGTGAATTGGTGTCCTTGGTCCAGATTCGAGCTAGAGGGGTACATGAGTCCTCACACCGAGGAAGAGTCGGACGAGTGGCTTTTTAACGGGCCACTAATTTTCTTTCATATGGTCGAGATGCACTACCCTATAAGGGTGTATAGGCAGTTCGAAAGATTACAGCCATGCCCACCACCGCTGTACACAACCAACAGAAAGTTGCACGGGTGCAACGACTATAACATAATAATTTAGCAGTCATATGTATACATACAACCACTAACTTACGTTAAACTTGTAGGTACGTTCGAATGAATAGGTACAAGGAGAAGAATTAGGCCGTGACGCACGCGGGGTACATCCATGACTGGAAGAATAGGCAAAGGGTCCTGATCGTCGAGAAACCACCGCACGACCAACGCAACTTCGACTGCTACCTCCAATGGTTGCATAGGAGTACCCGCACACATATGCAGGTCCCCTACACTAACAAGACAATTGATGAGGACGAAGACGAGGATGACACTGCTGATGCATACGACGAGGCGACAAGGATGGAGACACAGCTTCAGAGAGCCCCGCTATAGAGATACGTGGTAAGAAATTTGAATTTCAATATAACTACACGTCGACGTTCCTATGAATTATAGTGATACAAACTTACCTCGATTGTGTATGCAGGCAACACAGTTGACAAGTCTATCCAACGAAGCAGACGTGCGACTTCACGAGACCAGAGGGGAGCCACACGACATTCTACACGTCTTCGTCGATGTATATTTTATTCTCAAAGCCATGACAGTGGTTAAATGGTTCTCATGACTCATTCATCCATATTTTCTTTTTTTGCAGAAAGTGAAGAGGAGCCGCAAGAAGCTGGCACAGAAGCTCAGCTGCATGGATACTCCGTAGGTGATGCCCTATGACCCGGACCTGTTTAGTTCCTTATGCTTGAGCACTATGCCGACACGAGCAGGTTTCTCCGACACGATGGCTGCTAGGACCTCTTATTTTCATACTCCCGACAATGCAGGCAAGGGTCCTACGGAGCACGACGTTGAGGAGGATGACGATGAGGAGGACGAGGACGAGGACTACGATGACATTGGGATGTCTTAGCTTGGTGATACACCATTTCCTACACAGTTCGACGAACAGGTACTTAAAACAACCATTCGCCATGTACGTCACAATTACTTAAACATTATAAGTAACGATGCCTATATTGTAATTGTAGGGTCCTAGTTACACTCAGCAGTACCGCCCGGTGTACCACCAGCGAGACCGTAACGACATTGGGTTTACCCCTAACATGCTGCCTTCATGTCCGAAGAGGCAGCGACGTCCGCGGTACCCATATACTCCTGGGTCGTAGGAGTTCTGACATGATGCACCTGTACTCGGACACCCATATACTGATGGAATATGTAGTATGTCGAGTAATGTCGAACTTATGTATTGATGAACTTGTGTCGTAGTTATGACTTCCTGAACTTATATCGAACAAAGGTATTGTCGAACTTGCGATGAACTTGGGACGTGTACAAGTTAGTATTGCTGAACTTGTGTATTGATTGTCTCGTGCACTTAACCTTCCTGCTGACCTATTCGTTAAACCGACACGGCGAAATAACTTGACTCATGTGAGTGTCTTGTTCCATTTGCTGCCGCTTTGACCGCCGCGCCATGGCTGGGGCGCGTCAGCCTTGCCGCACTATGATGGGTGGCGTGGCACCGACGCGCCATGATGCACGGCGCGTCGGCCCCGCTACATCAGCGGTCGCCGCGACCGTTGACAGCCCCATGACGCGCCACTATGTATGCGGCAGCGTGAATTTGCCGCACTATACAAACGGCGTGTCCAAAAATGTTACTTAAAAAAAAAATAGTATTAGAATTAAAAATAGTTTAAAAAGTGTTAAAAATAAAAAAAATTCTCACGGGCAAGGTGCGACAACAGTCGGCGTCAGGTTACATTACATGTACAAGTTCCGGGCAAAATGGAGATGCAGACGATGTGCAGAGAGTGGATGCCTGAAGAAAGTCGCCGATGTTGACGATCAGAGCGCCGGGCAGGGGAGGGACGTCCACCCAGCCTGCAGGCCGCCCATGCCGTCCTGCAGGAGGACGGTGACGAAGGTGGCGTCGGCGTGCCTGCTGGTGCCGAGGGTGAGGTGCGGCTCCGGGCACGGCGGGTAGTAGTGGCTCGCCACGTTCAGGCTGTGCGCGCAGCCCATCTCGCGCAGGTGGTCGCTGGCCAGCCCGAGCGACTCCGACAGCAGCTCCAACACCCACAGCGCCAGCTTCGTCGCCGCGTCGCCGTACTCCAGCATCACGTACCTTACAGCCTCGGGCAGCTCCTCAGGCCGCGGCGGGTCCGGCGCCAGCTCGCAGAAGAGGGTGTCGCGCCAATTGGCGGCCGCCGACTGGAAGAGGTCGTAATTGGAGCTGAACCTCACCTTGTGCGCGGTGTCCCTGGTGTAGAAGCGCCGTTTCACCTCCGCTGGCTGCTCGTTGAACCGCCTCACCCCGGCGAGCACGCCGGCCATGAGCTCCCGCGGCACGCCATGGTTGGTCACCTGGAAGAACCCCACGGTCTCGGCCGCGCGCTTCACCCGGGCGGCCACCTCTCCCCGCAGTGCTGCAGCCGCGAGGTCGATGACCGGGATGGTGCCGGCGGCTACGTCGGTGGACGGTGGGGATGAGGTCGCCTCCAGGGAGTCTGGGGCGTGGCGGAAGATGGCCGGGATGGCCGTGACGCCGGCGTTGACGAGCCCCTTCACGCCCGCCTTGGTGTCGTCGAACGCTTGCAGCTCGCTCCGCCGGTCAAAGCCGTCGGAGGCCACACCGGCTGCCGGTTCGGTGGCAGACATCTATGGTGTAGTTGGTGGTGGGGCTCTGCGCGCGACGGGCGAGATAAGATAAGCGGGATGGGATCAATCATCCATGGGCCATCGATCTCAATCGTGCTGGGCGCCTGGTGGTGGCTGGAGGCGGATGCAAGTATTTCAGGACTTGGGATTTTTTTTTTTCCGAGTCCAAAGGCGATGGCAACCACTGAAGGATATTTTCGCCCGGGCAATCACGGCTCCGGTCACGCAACTCCAGCGCAGGCACCAGGGACCGTGTAGCGAGCCATGGCAACATCTGGTCATCGTGGACTTCAGAGCAGGCCTGGCCTGTTGCCGGTGTTAATTGCCGGTGTTATTTAGTACAATTTGGGGAAAATTGCAGACGCCGTTAAAACTGCAGACTGACATGAACGGAGGTGCGTCATCCCAATTGCGTTCAATCAAACAACGGCCGGCTGCCGGCACCAGCGGCAGGATGCACCGTGCCGTGCGAGTGATGTTACGCTCGGAGTCGGAGCGCAGGCTCCGGAAGTGGAAGGCGAGCACGGCAGCGCGAGCGACACGGGGGGCGTGCCGATGGAGTCGCGAAACGCACGAAGAAACCGTACCCTTGTCCGACCCGCAGTCCGCAACTCGACACGCGCGCCACGCCACGCCGCGCCCCGCTCCCTTCCCGACTCCGGAGCGCAGCCTGCGCCGCTGCCCACTGAACTCCTCTTCCCCTTCCGCCTCGGCTCCCCCCATCTCCTTCCGATTTCCCGAGCCCCCGAAATTCGAATCGCCCGCGTCCCGAGCCCTCGCCCGCACGCCGCCGATGCCCTCCAAGCGGCCGTCCCCGCACGCCATGGACGAAGCCGCCTCCGCAGCCGCCGCGCGCCTCCGCCCCTCCACCCCGCGCTCCAAGAAGCGCACCTCCCGCTCCAAGTCCCGCGGCCGCTCCCGGGACCGCCGCCGCTCCTCCCCGAACCCTAACCCTAGCTCCCGCCGCGAGCGCGCCGCGGACCACGGCTCTGCCGCCGCGCCCTCCCGCAAGAGCGACCGCAAGCCCAAGCCGCGCTCCTTCCCGGACTCCGCCACGCTCGCCACGGCCATGGCCTCGGTCGCCGCCGCCGCCGCCTCCTCCGCGGCCCCGGCGTCCGGCGGGGCCGTGCAGCGCGGGCGCCGTCCAGAAGCTCTGGACCGAGTCCGACGAGGTCGCGCTGCTCACGGGCGCCGTCGCCTTCAAGGACCGCACCGGCATCGCGCCGCGCCTCCCTGACATGGGCGAACTGTTCGAGTCCATTAAGGACTCCCTCGCTCCGCACCTCGACCAGGCCAAGGTGTACTACAAGCTCAAGCGCCTCAAGAGCAAGTTCCAGCACTCCGTGCCGGGCGAATCCAGCACCGCGCACGAGCACCGGCTGCGCGACCTGGGCGCGGCCCTCTGGGGCGCTGAGCTCGCGCGCCCTGAAGAGAAGGCCATCGCGGTGGCTGAGGAGGCCGACGAGGATGACGCTGACGAGGGATTCGTTGGCGGGGATAGGGAGGGGGCCGTGAAGCTTCCTATGGTCAAGGAGGTGCTTGGAGAGTACTGGAGGCTCAACGGGCAGACCATGTCAGGTGTGTCGCTGGAGAAGGGGTTGGCGATGCTTGGGCCACAGGAGGCTAGTGTGGCCGAGGTCAAATGGAGGCGACAGCTTGAGGCAGATATGCGCATGCAGATGCGCCGGCATGATCTGGAAAAGGAGGTCTATGGCCTGCTCATCGATGCCATCAAAGGCCTAGGGCCTTAGCTTGGGTACAGATTTTACCATTCTCTGTGATCTGTGAGAGAGATCGATTTACTTCTGTTGTTTCGATTGCTTGGACTAATTAGGCTGGTTTTTTGCTTATCATCAGTCTACAATTGGATTAAGGTGCCAATGCTGTTAAACTTACATTGGAAATTGGCATGCTCGGTTGACTATTTAATTGTGGGATTTAGTTATCCAAAATCACCATGCTTGTTTGATTTACTCAAGTCATGAGGTTTGTTTGTGTTGACAATTTAGTCTCTTTCCCGTCCTCTAGCCTCAATGGTATAGTAGCCAATTTTCATTTCAAAGCACACAGAATTATGAAATTTGGCATACTTTTAAGAAGTTAGGCAATGTCATTCGTTTTTTTACATTTACCATGCAATGTTTGTAGCATGATATTTGTTTGAAGGAAAATTAACGGGTTTCTTCTGGAATTTTTCTTTCTTTTGAGTCTTCGGGCTATTGGCTAAATTTTCATTTTCATAATTACACCTTTCTTATCTTGTCTTTTTTCTTTGCGAGGATTATCTAGTCTTCTTTTGTTTACAAAGTGGAACTGTTTGGTTGTCTTTCTTCCTTTCAGAATCCAGAGCTCTAGCTTTCATAGTAAAATAGGCCATATACATATGGCAGGTGTTTGTTTCTGGACCTATTGAGCTCAAGTTTCTGTATCACAATACTAGTGTGTAGAATATATGTCAATCTTCTAGAGTTCAGCTTGCCATGATAATTGGGTTGCATTTTTTATTCATCATGAGTTTATCATTGAATAAGTCACAAAGTTATGCTTAAATTTAGCTGGTTGGCATGCTCCCTCATATTTTTTTATTCATTCAAACATCAAGCGATTACATGCCTGTCTGGTTTACACTTGTCGAGTAGAATTGTGTTTTTAGTTTGGTTTCTTTGTCATCCCAGTTCTACCATCTACTTTAAACTAGCTGTTTTATTTCTGTGTGCCCCACAGGATTAGTGCATTTTCACAGCTTTTATGTGGCAGCTTAGATGTTTGAATTAGATGCTACATTTAAAGTGTTTCGTTGCATATTAGCATATTGCATAATTTTGTGTTTCTTATTTTGAAATGATAGCATGCTTGTTGTGATTATTCTACTTGACATGTAGAATTATCTTTGAGTTTGCTTTATTTCCCTTCCAGTTCTACCCTTGATGGCAAAACCACCATTCTTATCCAGAAAAATTCACTAATTACTATTTTGGCATGGTCTTGGTAGGACAGGTTAGGTATTGGATTGATGACTCTTAAACCAATGTTTTTAACATGATACATTATTCTGTTTACTAATAAAGGTGATACTTCTAGCATAATCAGTTTTAAAAAAATTGCTAGGCGCTAGTTAGGTGATTGGGTGGTGTCTAGCAGGTGGATGCCTTGGTAATCTATATGGATAAGCAGAATATTGAATTTATAATTGGATTTTCAACAAGTTAGCATCCAATCAGCATGAATAACGAAGAATTCCATGAGCTAAATTAGCATAAGTGGCATAATTAATTTCAAGCCAAAGAGTGTGAACTCATTTGTGTATTTTTCCCAATCAAGCATGAACATTTCAAGCCAAAAATCTATTATTGATGCTAAAAGTTTATTGTCCTCTTTGTGCATCTTGTGGTTTAGGTCAAGGTCATTGGTAGCATTGCTGTTTTAGTACTCCTGTAAGAGTTGAATCACACATTTTTTTGTTAAAAACCTGCCTTGTAGTTTACAATTTGGCAAAAAGGCCTGTTTTAAATGTAGATGTAGATACCTGAAGAGGTACTGCTGTTGGATCTGGTTGCAGTGTTTGAAAGAACTAGTCAAGTATGCATATCTAGTATGTTGTATACGTGTTACATGTGCACAACACAACTATATTCAAGTTGTGTAGTTATTTGAGATTTTTGCATATTGGGTATCACAAATGCATCAATCATGTTTAGGCATTTGGAGGTTCTACTTAAAGGGCAATCCTTAAGACATCAAACCTTTGTGATTTTTAATAAAAAATTGGACTTTGTGCTTGTATGTTGCCTTGGTTTTCCCTGATGGACAATCTTGGCTTAGGCATTTGATTTTGGAAGGTTGGTACTTGGTTGGACTTTGCAGCATTGAAAAGACAAGGCAAACTATATTATGGTTGACATGTCTTCCATTCCATTGACAATTATGGTGTGTCTTCTGTACGGCAGTCAACCATTTAGTTTGTTTTCTTGACATGTCTTCTATTCCATGGGCAATTATGGCATGGCCTCTACTGTATGGTAGTCAACCATCTAGTTTGTTTTCCTAATGGGTTCACAATAGACCCGCTGTCTCCCCATTTTAGCAGTTCGCCTTTTGGTGTCCACCACTTATTATCTGAGTTGCCAACTTGCTATGCAGGGAGTTCCATCCTCCATAATGTTGAGATAAGCCACATGGCTGTGATTTCTCTCTTTGTTGTGTGTGTTGTCTTTGTTGTCTCTTTTTGTTCTCTTTGTTTGATGTGGGGTTGGCTGTGGTGGAGAATGAGATCAGTGCCAATTGATTCCCTATTTTATTTATTGGATAAGTGTTCTAGTTATATAGTTTTGGTTTGCTCTATGCTTCCTACACTTTCAGGCAACTAGTAGTATCCGTGTTAGAAGCAAGCATTACCAATCAAATAGAATATCTATACCAAAATAACAAAAAAATCCACCTGAATACAGTGTTCGAAATCCCATGAGGTGCAAAATCCATGCCCTCTATTAACTGCATTTACTATTACTTTTCTTTATCCCCCTAAATTGACGTTCTAATACAATGTCCACTAAAGTTTAGAGCCCCTATGGGAGCGCACCATAAAGGGCTTCTACTCTAGCTCCTGTTGAAAGTTGAAACTCTACCAATTGGTCTCTTGCAAAAGTGCTTCATGGGCGAAGCAGGGTGAAGGCAGAGCCATTTTTTTTGTGAAGGACTGATGGAGCCCAAAATTGTGGCTTCACTTCGCTCTGTCGAGGGTCGCACAAGCAAAGGATTCCCGTGCCCTCCTGTGTCGCGCGCGAACCTCTCCTCTCTGGTGGACTCCTGTTGCTCACGCATGCACCCCGAGTAGAACCTTGTAGAGGCCAACGACTAGGTGGAGGTTGGCCAGCCTGGAGGCGATGGATGGACCTAGTGCCGCCACATTGAAAGCTATGATGGGATGGTCTTGCAAGGCTTGGCCGTGACAGGCATGAGCATGGTCTTGGCGGTGTGACCTCGACTGGCGCTTGCTCGTAGTATCCCACATCTGTGGATGCATAGCATGGCGTGAGGATCAGGTGATGTCATGACCACACCTTTCCCTTAGAAAAATAAAAGAAGAAATTCGGAGCAATACATGTATACATACTTGGACCTCCGGCCACCACGCACAAGTTCAAACCAAGTCGAGAATTTACAGTAATATAATAATGCCTTTTTCTTATGAATCATACAGTAAAAAAGCAAATGAAAAAATAGAGAAAATCAAGTTCATATAAAGAGTAATAGCTAGGGGCAACATGGACATCAGATATATATATTCTATTCATTCCTGAAAATACAGGAGCTGTTTTGCCAAACATTTTCCAAAGTGCTTCAACTCCACCAAAGAAGCCACTTCTCCAGAGGAGTCAGAGCCGGAGCCCTGCCAAACAGGCCCTTAATCTCATCTTGTGTACCAGATTTGCAAGGCATTAAGATAGAAAGCACCTAGCTAACTCCTTGTTCTTTGTCGACTCCCCTCCCCCCGAGGGCCCAACACACCCACCCACCCACCCCATTGAAGTTCAAATACAAAGCCTGCTAAAGCTTAAATCTTATCTCATGTATCAGTTTCACAAAGAGTTAAGATGGAAAGCATGCAACAATTTATGATACCCAAAGCAATTGGTTAATCATAATATTGGATCGCATCCCATATAGGGACATTTTGACCTACCTGCCAAATCCGTATTTTCTTGGTTTCGGTGTAGCTAAGCCATTTGGTTGTACTCTTCTTTCATTTGTCACGTGTTGCCACTTTGGCTTGCCCTGTTCGGCAAATTCTAACTATATGCCATTGGTGAGGTCCGAAACTTACAAGTCCCTCTTCACAGCATGGGAAATCTATTGATACTTCCACACTTCCCTCTTTATCTAGGATATATCATTTCTACAGCATGCATAATGTGAGCAGTTCTTCCTCTCGAGAACATTCAGATTTTCATGCCTGTCTAGATTAGGCCTTGTGTGGAGTTGTGCTTTGTCCATCTTTCTCTGATCCAAATCCAAGCACGACCATAAATCCAATCATCCTCAGGCCGAAACAATCACAGACACAGAATTAGAGGAATGCAGGAATGCACTCGAATGGAGGGCAAACCATAAATCAACCGACTGCCGAGTGATACACAAATCAAGGCTGAAGGAATCTGTGACGGACTGCTTGTCGCCACACCAGAAAGGAGTCGCTGCCCAATTGACCACGTCAAGGAAGACGAGCCTCTGATACCACCTGTCACACCCATGGTCACTGTTGAGATCAAACTAACGATACGAGTAGCAAAAGAAGAAGAGGAGGAAATTAGAGGCTAGATGATCTAGATAACACGAGGAAGAAACCTTCCTTTCCTGTCTGTTCTGTTTCTTTAATTTCTCTATTTTTTTTCTTACTCTCGCCGTCCAGACTCTTGGAACATATACACACGTCTTCCACCTGAGTCGCATGGGTGGTTAGCCCCTTGTCAGTTAAAGCATTGGGCACCTTGCTCTTCATTATGGGTGTTACACCTGGGGTATTACATGCAGGGCATCTAGTATTTATTGAATGCTGAAAAAGAAACAAAAGATATTACATGTAGGGCAAGTAGCCAAGCCGTTCAAAATAATGAATTACATGGGAACTTTGGGCCTGTTTTGTACTGACCCTGGCCATTCTCCCTGGTCCAGGCAGAAAATCTAGGCGTTGGATTTCGGACACCTAGGGCTGGATTCCTGTCTGTTCCAGGTTGCCTGGCCAGGACAGAAT